GTCCTATTCATTGAAGGCACATGCATGTTGCCCAGTCAGTGTTTGCAGACTCCTCTGCAAGATGTGGTATATGGTTCAGCTTCTTTGATATACTAGAGTGAGTGCTCTCAGCATTTTGATGACTCACACTGTCACTTGTGAATTAATAAGTGATCCGAGCTCTTCAGTGTAATGAACCCTATCATTTATTAAAAAAGGGAAAACTGTTCCCGTAATTAGTGTGGCGATGTTTGATAAGAAAATTCTGTTTTTGAGGGACTATTATTATTAAATATTGTCAGTAAATACTGTTCATTTTTATGCTTGGTGAAGCACTTTCTGGTAGCTGACTTGATGAAATTTAGTGAAAAATTTGTGGTAAAAGTGTTCTTTAAGAAATTTTGTCTGCTATATTATAATTTTTAAAATATTAAAATATTGAGAATTTTGAAAAGGTGGGAATTTGCAGAAAAGGGTTCTCTCCGAGACATGTCTTCCTAAACCCCAGAATGTTAGCATGGGATTTGTGGATGATTAAAAGGGCATGAAAAAGAATTAGTAACAATGTAAGAAACATGGTCTTTTACTTCCCTCAATGCACATTAAAATTGTAGATTAGAAGGTGGGCTCTGTATCCTTCAAAATGACCTTGTGTTTTTTGTATGTTCCAAAAGTCAAATGGGACAACTCTCTGAATTCTTATTTTTTTTCATCAAAAATAAGGACAGTTTTTACTGTTTTCACTGTATGGAAAAAAAGATATAATTCAGAGGATATTAAGGTGCCATTGCTTGTCTGTTTTTATTTACTCCCCATAGCTGAATGTGGGAAAGGAAACAAAAAATCACCATGAAAAGATGTAATTGAAAAAAATTTTCTTAGTATTTAGTTATGGGGGATATATCCAAATACAGCTTTAAAATGCCAATAATAATAAATATTGTTAGAATGCTATCTGGTAATCATTGAATTGTTTGGAGGAAAAAAAGTTGGAAAACCATGGCTGACACTTCTACTGTTTTCCAAGACTGATGTTGAATTTAGCCTCATTCCTTAAGATGGAAATGAACATGAAAAATTTCAAAAGAGCATCATTACATTTCATGTTGGTTTTAAACCCTTTTTAGTGCTTAATATAAACCTGTGTGTAGTCAATCTTAAATTTCAGTTGAATTGAGCATTGAGGCTCAACATCAGATTTCAAGATTTAGCAAAGTGATTTACAAGTCATTAAAAGATTGTGACAGAAATAGTCATATATGTTAACAGCTTTACAGATCAGCAAACCCGGTAGTTTCAGTGAGAATGTGTATGCCTGTGATGTTATTCCCATGCATGGTTGTATGACTGGATTTTTTTTAGTGTATGGATCTATACATAAGTATGATTACTGAGTTTACATTTCTGACATAATTGGTTGCTTGTATAAATTTCATTTATAATAAGCAGACTCTGTTTAAAATGTAGCCCCCAGAGAATTTCTGTTGTTCAGAAATTAAATTTAGATGATGTGTGGTTTTTACACTGTGAATCCCTTGTTATCAGAATTGTGGATTTTATTTGAAGTTATATTATAAAGGTCAACTCTATTGTACAGATGAGTTGCTATGCTATAGACAAAACACTGGAGGTTTTTTGTAGGAACTCAAATGAAAAAGAGGAAAAAAAAAAGGATGATAGAAAGATTATCACATTATTAGTTAAGCAGCAGATTCCAAATGACACATACTGTCAATAAAATCTTCCCTTACTGGCTTTAAATCATCCTCAAAATATTCTGTTTGCCACAGTGGTTACCTATCATCCTAGAGTCTAGAAACACACATGAATAGCAAGTCAAATTTCTATTTTGTGGATCTATGCTGCACTGTTGAGTTCAGTGATAAATGCTCTCAGTGAGCAAAAATTGGCTTAAACTTCCTACCATTTCATGTAGACTTCATGTCACAAAGTGTTATCTTAAATTTAGTGCCATCTATGGGAGTGTGAATATGACTTCAAAAGAGGATAGAACCTATATTTTGGCTAAATGGACCTTTCCTTTCCATTCCTGTCACCATGCAATCTTAAATGAATAGAAGTAAAGATAAGAACAAATTTTTAAATATGGCCAATTTGGGCATTGAATAAATAATTAGAAAACTAGGTATTTTGTGAAGTAGCCAGAATTTAATACACTTGGAAAAAGTGCTCATAGATATCAGTTTCTTTTACTTAGAAAGAGCATGCTTGTTTTCAGTTCAGTTTTATATAATATAAGAGTTTGGCTATGTAATTTCTTTTTGGACAAAAGACAATACTTTCTCAGGACTTACAAACACATGCTAATTAACAAAAAGTTAGAATCATAGAGTCATAGAAATAGACTGGTTTGGAAGGGCCCTTAAAGATCATCTTTATCTAAAGAGGCCATCCCCTTGTGGTCAGGGATACTTTTTGCTTGACCAGGTTGCTTAGAGACAGCCTGGCCTTGAGCACTGCCAAGGATGGGTCATTGCCCACATCTCTGGGCAACCTGTGCCAGTACCTCACCACCATCACAGTGAGACATTTTTCTTAGTATCTATCTATTAATATTAAGGTAAGTATGTGTTTTTCCTACCATCAGCTCTAAGAAATAGATTTTCCAATTGAATTGCGGCTTGAACATTCAGGGTCTGAACGGTATGTCCATGGCAGGGCACTTCACAGGTAGGTGTAGCTCCGAATGTGTTCATGGGCTTCTATGTCTCTCTTTCTCTGTTACAGCTGTGATGACTCAGAATATTAACCAGATCACTTTTTAATGCTACTTTAGTTAAGCAGCTGCAAAACAGATAGCTTTTCAGTTCTTTAGATTCTTTTTTTTTTGTCATCCTCTTGTATCTTTCCTTATGAAATTAAAAAAACTCATTATTGTGCTAAAATAGGCTATATAAAGCCAGTGCATGCAAGTTTTAAACAGTTGCTTTAGCACTGTAATTTTTAAGCAGTTAATGAAAGTCATTGTTTTAGATCTAGTCATATAAGTGTAAAATTATGAATGTCTACCCTATTAATCAAGTTGCTTTTGAATTCTAGAGATTCTGAGGTAGGAGTTTGCTCAGTGAGGCATAATTGTTTTTCCAGCTCAATACAGACTAGTCCCATTATTCATGTTTTCTTTTCAATAAGAACTCACACTGTAATTCTAAGCACTTATGATAATTACAAAGGACATATTTTCTTTTTCTTTTTCTTTTTTTTCCTTTCCTTTAAAATGCTTCTTTTTCCCCCTTCCATTGGCATTATAACAAAAAACAGAATATTAAAACCATTTTAAATTCTAGTTGGGACACTTGCATTTTGCCAGGCAAATTTTACCCATTCTCTTCCTTGACTGTGCTGTACAGCTGTGTGTTGTTAAACTGCTGTTTCATACGCCCCAGGTTTTGTGCATTTCAGAGCTTAAGAAATATGTCAATTGTGCCTGTCCTACAAGGAATTTGCTTACTGTAAAGGTGATTTTTTATAGATTAAAATTGGGCTTAGTGTATACTTATCCAGAGAAAGCCTGAGGCAATCAATGATTGAAAACAACAAGAGATTAAGAGGCCATTATATGTATATATACACAATTAGAAATGCAAGTATCATCGTGTTCTTGGAGAAATGGCTAAAATGAGACCTTCCTAGCCGTTGGTATTGTCTAATCTCTTACATCATTACCAATTATGGCTGTGCTTATTCTGCTATGGTAATGAAAGGTTCAGCCCTCAAACCCATCTTCTCTGGTGCTTCACTCTTCCTCTGAGCTGGCTCCAACCTGGAGCAATGCAGCATGTTGTCTAGTGGGAAGACAACTAACTCCAGGAAGAGCTGATTTGAAATTCACACTGTTTGCTGAAACTGTGTGATGAAGCCAAGGCTGAGTTTATTTATTGCATACAAAGACAACATAAAGGTGTGGTCTACGGTCAATGGCTTCTGTTGCAATTTGGCTTCTTACTTCCTGTGTGACTGTAAGCCAGATTTTTTTCAAAAGTAGTCAATTGTTTTGATATTTACAAATTTTCAATGTGTAACCATAGTGTTTTCAAATGAGTGCCCTAAAAACTTTTTGACTCAGCCCAAAGTGAATGGAGACACATTGGGTTTAGCACAAAGGACACCTCAGCTCAGCTGGTGCCTTTTTATGGCTTCAAAATTCTCCAAGTAACTGCAACCACCACATTGCTTGGGAGGAATGTGAAAGGTAGATGGCTATGATATGAATGCCCATCATTGCCTTTTGAAACCTAATGAAACCAGTTGGTTCTTTTGCTCTTAGATAGTTACCTCAAATATAATGAACCTTCCCTTGGAAATGCCTTTTCTCATCAGTAGAGATGTAAATATATCTGTATCTCTGTCCTTAAAATACTGGATGTGTCTTCTCTCTCCGTGAATTGCATGGGGAATCAAAGGCTGTGTTAGCCAGGTTGGATTTCTTAACCTTCCTCTCCTCTGTGCTGACAGATTTTGTACCAAGTAAAAGAGTTGATAAAAGCAGACTGGATTTCAGACAAAAATTTCACTTTAGGGTAGTTTGGTGTGATTAATCTGCCTTTTTATGTCCCTGCTTTTTGTTTCCTCCCTTTTTGGAGAGGGTGTAAAGACCAATGCAAGTAAGAAATCCTGTCATCAGTAACTGGAGATTGAGATCCCAAAAGAGAAGCTACTGTTAAAGGTATACACAGTGCCATCTATTTTTTATTCACTGATATCACCCAGTGTTACATTCTTCTGGATTTGAGAAGATTTTTATTTGCATCTGCATCCTGTTTATCACTGAAATGCTGCTAGGGGGGGAGATTAAACAGAAAAGTATATTCTTGTCATACAAGTGGTTGGTAATATTTTAAAGCACCAACACATGATAATTGTTGCAGCCAGAATTCATACAAACACTCTTGAAAGTTACAGATGATACAGATTCTGCACAGTGTGTGATTTTCATAAAGTGAAAAAGCATCAAGAACACACGATAAATGACTCCAGTATGTGATCAGACCCATGACTACTCAACAGTTGTTGTCGTGGATTAGGCGGCACTTCAAAACCTTGAGATAGTTGTCGATTTTGTGGGAATCTCGGCGGAGGCAGTGCAGCAGGTTGTAAAAGGCAAAGAGTCTGGAGTCTTCATCAGCAAGCTGCAGGGATGGAAGTCCATCCCACGGAGTGTAAATCTCATTTTCGACCTCCCCAGAGTGAACCTAAATACACAAAGTGGTATTAACAGTAAATGATAGTGAGCCTGATTGGATGTAGAAGGCAGAATTTAAAATACTGTCCTTGAAGAATGTTAGTGTATGGCTTCTAACGTGCTTTCTGTTCAGGCTCACATTATTCTGTACAATGTTCTATATCTTCATTCAGATTTTGAATGAATTTTTCAGATTTTTCAGTTTATTTTCCTAAAACATGTGAAAAGCATAACTGTCTCAGTAGTGTTTTAAGAGAACTAGTGTATTAACCAGTATTCAAGGAAACCTGACTTTGCAGAAAAATCAATCCTTCCTTCATGCTTGGACTCATCAGGGACATCTCTCCACCTGGCTCCCTCCACCTTCAAAACTTTGTTAAAACTCGTTCTTAGAAGTTGTTCGTGTGCAACAAACAGATTAGTCTCAGCCCTTATCAGAAAAATCTCTCAATAATACATACTCAGAAGTAGTGGCTCCATCAAAAAAAAAAAAAGCTGAGTGATACAATGACTTCTAACTTTAGAAAACTACATGTGGGAACACATGTAGTGAGTTAGGATCTGAGGTGAAGACTAGTTTAGGTCTCCTTGTTTGAAGACAATCACTAATTTTCTCTTATCACATAAATCTAACTTTCATAGCAGGAAGGAAGTCTGTGCCTATTGATTCTTGTGCACCATTCTTATTTCACACAAGTCATGCTTTGAAAAGACATATAGGAGAGTATCTGTGGAACTGCTATCATTCAGTTTAAGCAAAAGGCAAAAAAAAAATAGACCCACTATGACTTAAAAATATGGTTTGACACTAATGAATGAGCCAATCTTATCTCTTTCTGTAAATAATGTGAATGAGAAGGTGGTGACAGGGCAACTGGAGCAGCACCTGACTTCTTATTCTTATCTTGGACCCTCAGCTGTGCCCTTTTTACACATGGATGTGTGATAGAGATGTATTTGATTACACTGATAAATGTATTTGTAGCCTGGATGATATAAGGTTTCTGAGTGAAGAGACACCTAACTGAAAGAGAGACCTTGAGTGATCTAGTGGAAAGTGGTGGATACAGTGATGGTGACACCCTTTGTGCTGTTCAGCTGCTCAGAGCAGTGAACTCAGAACCTCTTGTCAACATCTAACTCACTGACAGAATGATAAATTCACCGACTAACTGAGGCCCCTTTAAAAATAAACAAGCGAGAGCTGGCTTTGTTCAGGAAAGCTTTCAATCAATTAGTGGCAACAAGAGCTATTCAAGTATGGGTTTTGTAAGACAACAGCCTTGTTGTCTAAACTCACAAGTATAGGGGGAGCCAAGTCAGACACAGAGTCCAGAGGAATCAGTGTGGCGTGAAAAGAGAAATGAAAGATATAAAGGTTACTTTGCCACATCTTTGCAATAGCCCAGACTCACAGAGCTGTTTTAAACACAGTATCTGTTTCCAAGACCTCTGCATAATACCTATTTGTATACAGATCCATATAAATATGCTGAAACACACACACACACACACACACACACACACACACACACACACACATATATATATATATGTGCATATGGGAAAAATGGGGATGTATCCTTAAACAATCAGGATTGCAGATTGAAGATTCTCAGAGATAGAATGACCATAGCCAGTCCTGATAATTACACCTTACCCTGAAGCATAACTGGGAGGGTCATGGGTTATTCTATGACAATCATATCACATTGTCTCTTTATAAATTGCAAGTTAGCAGAAGAAATCTGAAAGAAGAAAGCTGAAAAGATCTCAGACTCAACTACTTTGTCTCCCTTTTTTATCTTCACATCTATTGCTTCCTTTCATATTCCAGGTAGGGAGAGCCTATCAGTGTACGTGTCTTCCTTAAAGCAATTGGCTGGAAGGGTGTTAAGGACTGACTTACCCGCCCAACTATTTTCTCCATTCCTTCTAGGAGTCGCTTGTTTTGTTCTTCAATCTCCACAGCCTTCCAGAGAATGGTTTCTGGAGCTTCTTTGATTCTTTGTACTTCAGAGGCCAAGTGGATCAGGGGATCATTCCAGGAGCGCAGAACTCCCAGAATTAAATTCAGTAGGTCTTCATGCTGCACACCCATAGTAAGGGAAGGTGATTAAAAGAAGAAAGCTAATTCTGGTAAAATTAGAAGGCATTTAGAGCACTGTCGTCAGACATTGCGATTTAGGAACTTATTCCAGGATCTATCAGAAATGTTGCCTATAACCCTGTCTTAGATACCTCTGTGCAATTGCATTTTCGAAGTTTGCCATTGGTGTCATCACATTTTACAATATTTGTGTGAGCCATTCTGCAGTGGAAAATATAATTTGAATACTCTCAGCATTAAAAACTAGCAAGCATAACTATGTCTCATCTCTGTGAAAGGAAACCCAGAGCTCCTTATCTGATTTTTGATGAATGTTTTAAAATCCACTGATTATTTTTATATATATATATATTTTTTAATTTAGTATTGACTGGAAGGTCCACATTATGGTAAACCACCAAATAGCTTTTATTGCCTCTACATAACTCATCTGTCCTCCCTTTTGAACAACAGTGCTTCCAGCAGTAGCTCTCTGGTTTTAAAAATTGTCCTTTTTTGTGGGCAATAGGAATTCATCAAGCCTACGGTTAAGATCGTGGCAGTATTAAACCTTTTCTTCTTTCCTAGATGCACAACCCAGGGCTGTGAATTCTATTGCTCCCACAAGAGTTTCTTAATGACACACTAAGAAGCTGGTGATACTGTGAAATTATGAAGATATCACCACCACCATGAAACTCATAGAGATTTTGCTCTGGAACAGCCCCATTTTTAAAGCTCTGCTTATTTTTTTCTCCAGAGAATTTTCAAATGATATCTGTGAGGGTAGACTGAATGAGATCATCTTCACTAAACTTTATTATATATTATTATATATTATGTAGGTATGCAGCGTGTTTCTATTTACACATATTTTGCAGATTTTCACACTAGAGTCTTTGTATTTGGTTGATGATATGACCACTTTAGCCCACTGGTAACAGAAAGAATATCTATTCAATGTTTTTTTAGTAATGCCACTGTTTGGAGTTACTGGAAAACTCTTTACCTCTGTCTATATACAGCAATGTGTTCTTATGCTTGTAAATACATTACATTATGTGTATAAGATGTTTTAAGAGAATGTTTAAAGGCTGTAGTGTTCTCAGCACTGCACAAACACGGTAACTGGCATTGCTCCATGAGGTTGTATTTTAATTGGAATTAAGACACAGTACCATACAGGAAAAGGAATGGATGATGAAAGTCACTGGTACTTATATGTGCTGTATGGTTTGTGACTTAGTATCTGCAAATGTTAAATCAACTTTGGCTTTTTGGTGCTTTCCTCTTCCTGGCTTTTTAATTCTGATTGAGTTGATCTCCCTCTCACTCTGAAAGACTGAGTATTATGTAAATCTCTCACTATTCTGCAACCCTCCTTCCCTGCCTTCCCCTGCTCTGTCTTACACTGAATTACACTGGAAGTGGGACTTACATGAATCTGCTGAGCCTGCTCCTTATCTTCAGGAGTGGTTAAGGACGCAGTGTGGCAGCTGTTGACAGCTTTTGCAATGAAACCCCGGCCCTGGGCATAGCGTTCATCCTGCAGATCAGCATGGACAGGTGTTATTAGGACAGAAAAGAAAGAGCTTCAGCTCAAACACTGTGCTAGCTAATCGTTGTTCCATAGCTTTTATCACTGCCTTTATGCTGTAAAGGTCAAAAGTTTCTGGTGAGTCTCTAGAGTGGAACTGGCACCCAGCAAAAACAAATGCTCCACAGATGAAGAATGATGGAAAAATGGCATCTTTTAATAGAAGTTCTGGGGATCTTAGCAACATTCAGGGCTATATACCAATTTGGTCACCATTGGGACTTTCACCAGACAGCAGTCATACTTGTTTACTTATTATATGTTAACATATGTTTGTGATTAAAAAATATTAAATTGCAATTTTATATTTTCTTGCTCTCAGGAAAAGACTACTTACAAATTCATTGAACATTTCCGAAGAGAGATAGTGAATGTAGTGTGAAAGTTTAACGGCTCGCTCAAAAAGCTCTTCAAGGGAAAGCTGGCAATTGACAGATCCATTGGGGCAGATTGGCATAGAGGTCACTCCTTCCTTTGTCAGAAGCATGTGGGACACCAGAAGGGCTGCCAGCAACAAACCTGTTCAAGTTTAAAACATGGTGAAATGGGCACACATTGACTTGCAGGTGTATTTAGAAGCAGCTGTCAGAGGCAGATGCTGGGTGATTTGGGTTGTGCTGTCACACGGCTCAGAGTACCCTCCGTGCTGGTTGCTCCAGCAGTTCAGGACAGGCACACTGTAATTCTATGATTCTTTTATCCTTCCTCCCCTCTATCATGCTGATGGTATAGCAGAGCCAGTTACAGAGTTTGAGGAGACATGGTAATCTGTGTTGCAGTGTACAGTGTATTCTGAAGTCTCTTACTACGTGTCTGGCTTTATAACAGAGTCATAAACAGAAGAAAAAACAAATCAAACTTCTTCTTCACAGTGCAAATATAGATACATATTTATATTTACACAGATATATAAGTTTGGAAAATAGATTGTTCTTTTTTTTTGTTCTTTCTTTCTTTCTTTCTTTCTTTCTTTCTTTCTTTCTTTCTTTCTTTCTTTCTTTCTTTCTTTCTTTCTTTCTTTCTTTCTTTCTTTCTTTCTTTCTTTCTTTCTTCTTTTTTTTATCTTTCCCTCCTCCTCGTCCCAGACGTCCTTTTCTTCTTGCAAACATTTGGAGTTAAAATTAATTTTTGTGGGAGGGTGGTTAGGTCACTCTTAAGGCTGTGATTGTCCTGGGAATTCCTTCAAAAGATTTCCAGCAGCTGTGCTTCTTTGCTCTTTAGAGTTTAACCCTAAGTTTCCTACTTCTAAGAAATCAGTGACAGTTTTTGTCTTTTCTCCTGAGCTTCTGAAACTCATATAGAGGACTTCTCATTATCTAAAGCATCTGCTTAAAGCTTCTCATGTTAACTTAGCAGAGTTAAGTTTTTTGTTCAGTGAAATAAAATATACAGAGAAAAGCAATGGCAAATAATTAAAATATTTGGTAAATGAATGTACCTGTTCTGAGACTTTTACTTCTGGAAATTGACGTATTACCTATATTGGTTGACTAGACATATTTAAAATGCTCAATGAAAGTGTGCTTCATAAATCAGCAAAACTATCCCTAAGGATGTCACATGATAAATTTCTTTCTAGGTCTACATTAAAAAAAAGGTGGATTTACACAATAACGAAGTAAGCTCTCCTCCTCCCCCATAAGCAAGGTACATGCTGGATGCTGCATTTAGGAAAGTACTCTAAGGAATAGCTTTGTGAAAACCTGAGACTTGTTGGCTTGGAAAGTCGATGAACATTTTGAAAAAATTAATTTCAAAATTACCTCATCACCTCTAGATTTGTGGGTAATGACATCTAGTCATAACCTTCTGAGTGGTGCAGCAAACCAGTCCAGATCCAAACTTTCACGTGCAGGTGTGACACCCCTCAAGCCAATTTTTTTGTGACACCACCCAATGCACAGGAACTCTTAGAAGACAAAAGGCATCAAGCTTCTTTCTTCAGGTTTTGCCCTTTCTGGAAAATTATGTGGCTGGAAGACCTCAGTTTTTAGATCTGTTACATTTCATATGCTTCCTAATTCAGTCAAAATGGAAAGAAGTATAAAAATTAATGGTGAATGTCAAAATCTTACCTTTCAGTGAAGCCCCCCTGGTGTTCATGGTCGGCATCCTGGATGATGACTTTCTCTATCAGAAAGACACCTCAATGCTTGCTGCTATTCTCCACACAGACCACTTTTATATACACCATCCAGGGTCCATTTTGCATACATTCAGCAGGTTGTGGAGTTTGCCTCGATAATTACAAACATCAAATTGCCTTTCTTCCACATTCATATTCACTATTTTTTGGTTCTTTTTTTTTTTTTTAATTTTAGCTGTGAGGGGGAATTTCATTAATAAGTTGAGCTGTGGGATCCCAAGTATGATTGAATGAAGAGATTGCCAATATTTTGCCCTTAATGAGGTGAAAATGCCATTGATCTTGGAAATCTCCAGTTCTGAGACATATATTCTCAATCTTTCTAGCCTGCTGTTCCCACTCCCCATGATAGTCTTCTCACCTGTCCTTCTTGCTTCAGCCATCTAAGCTTGCTTACATGAAAATTCTGGCTATTTGTGGGAGGCAAACAGTAGTTTACAATATCCTCATTGAGAGAAATAGCATAAATTGAGCAGAAATTTATCCAGAGTAAAGGGAACTGAGGCTCCTGGAAAGACAGGTCACTCTCTGTAAGATTGTAGATAGGACAGTCATGGTCAGCTAAAAAATATATTACACAGCACAAATCTTGGTATAATTGATCCTCTGTCTGAGAGATGTTTAGAGAAATAGGCTGAGTTTTTATATTAAATAAAGGAAAAATTTAGAAGAATCGAAGAGGTAGAAGTTATATATTTACTGCTTAATCTGAAATGTCTCATGAATAAGTTAGCATTGTTTAGAAAAACAAACCCAACCTCTACAAAACCATGAAATTATTTTCTATAGTCAAAAACCCTCTGCATAAAAGATGGGCATTTCCACCACATGCAAAATGTGCTGTCGTCAGCAGTGAGGTTTGTTCTCGGTTCTGATGCATCTGTGGTAAGCTGCAAACCAGCCTGAGCAGGTTGGCCCTGTTTTCTTCTTCTGTGAGGCTCATCTGCATGAATATGTTAGCAAATATATAACCTTTCATCTGTTTTTCAGGTCCATTTACCCACGGAGAAACTTTCCAAATTAGATGGTCATGATGAATAAGGTATACAGTGTTAATGAATTTTCTTGCCTTTAGACAACTTGTTCCATACCTGTGGAATGGGTATACATGCAACCCAGAATCCTTCATTATTTCAGGATTCTTGAAGTAATGATGAACAAGGGAGAAGAAAGGCTAAGCATTTAGGGAAGGCATTCCTTGGGAAACAAGATACTTCAGCAATAAACCAGAACCAGCAACAGATGGTCTACCTTTGCTAAATTCTAGGATTTTTGCTAGAACAGTTTGTTCTGCTTAGAGGCTGCACCTTTACTGGAGATTCAGGTTCTGCTGAGTAAATGAAGCAGTTGTTGTCTGCAGCAGGAAAAGTGGCAGTTTGATGAAGGCAGTAATATTAGAATGGAGCCGCAGCAAAAACTCTAGCACGGATGGTAGAAAAAAGTGCTGTCTTCTAAACTGTGGTTAATGTCTTATGAGCTTGATTTAATTCAGCTTCATTTGAAAACCTGCCCCAATAAGATTACGGATGAGACTGAACAAACCTGGTATCTTACATTAGAAAAGTCCTGTGAATTAGATGAATGAACAGTTCTCAACCCACCTGTTGCTCTTTCATTCACTAATCTCATTTTCTTGGCATTTTGAGGGTTTGGTGGTGGGGCCAAAATAAGGCACTGAGTTAATTAATACTGGGGACTAGATAATAAAGGCAACAGGTAAACTCCCTAGTCTGTCTTTCTGTTTTTGGATAAGGAGGCTTCTCTGAGGCCTGATGGCATCAGCTGAAGTCAATATCCTCATATGACTTAGCTTGGAGGATAACCTGCCTCTTGCTGTGTAAAAGTAGACAAGCACATTAAATGTAGATTACAAGAGAGTGGTTTATTTGAAATCACTGCATGATGTTTTATTTAAAATATTCTACCACAAAATTATACAATTTAATTTTCTCTTGCACCTTTCATCCTCAAATACTCTCCAAACATGAATGGATTAAAATTGTCAGCAATCAAGAATCATAGGCTGGAGAGAAGACACTCTCTATAAAATAGATAAGTATAAAGGTGAAGTTCTTTTACCAGGTGTGAGAACTGACATAGAGGTTAAGTTTATTTGTGTCTGCACAGGAAGTCTTGAGGGAAAAAATAAAATAAAATTCCTGATTCCCAGACCTGCACTTTAAGTGAAGAACATAATTTCCTCCTAGTACTAAAGATGAAAAAAAAAGAGGAGAGAAAGAAAAGAGAGGAAGAGTTACAATAACCAGAAATAAATAGATTAAAATGTTAATTTTCTTTTATAAATTAGGAATTTTGTCCTATTTAAAAGCTGAATAAAAACTTGAAAGTAGCTGAAGTAGCTGAAAATGCTTCCTCTGCCTTTTTAAAGTGACCTGGCTTTATATGCTCCAAAGACATAGAATATGGCATCCCATTGTCTCTGATTATTCTCTGAATCGTGGAAAGGAAGTTCATTCTAGCCCCCAATAACCACCTAACTGCCTAATTTTAACAATAACTCAAGACAGCAATGTAGCTAGCTGGACAGTTACCATTACTGAGGAAAAAGCCTGGAACAACATGAGGAACTACAAAGCAGAGCTCTGGTTAGCAGCATGTTTCCATCTCCCTTGGTCTTCTACTTCTGCCTTAGAAATATATATATATATATATATATTTAATTATTGTTTTAAAATTATCACATTCCTTTTATCTTCAAGGTCTTTCCTGGAAAGAAAATGAGTAGTTGTTACCACTCAGTGTAAACAATATACCAAAAGCAGGACTTACTATAGGCAGACTTTATTATATAGCTTTTAACTCATTATTCATGCTTCATAGGCATTACATGTGGTGTATCAATATTACAGATAACAACATCTAGTGCTTGTTTCTCAATAGCCTTATCTTTTCATCTCATATCAGGTTGCAAACCATGAATTAGTCTGTGGCATCTTGATTAAGAACTATTGATCAGTACTGGAAGATCAAATATTCCAATTACATTTTACTTTAGTTAAAGTTTTTGAGATATGCAAAGTCTTGTGTCTGATTGATGGCTAATGCAGAAAAATGAAAAATCTTTTCTAATAGAATAGCTCTTCGCAGAATACTTAAGTAGTTTAATTGAAGATTGGTAATATCACTTGATTTTGACTTTTACTTACTTAGAAGTATCTGTCTTTATTAACAGAACATTAGTTGATGCAGAAGTTTGAAATATCAAAGTTTGGTTATGTTTTTAAAAGATGATCCCCAAGTGCAGATCATGCAAAGATGAATGTTCATAAAAATATTCCTGTATGTGATCTAAATAATTAACTTTTTGGATACACATTAAAAAAAAAAAAAAGGTTTGTGTGTTTTTGTGTTTTTGCATTCTTGTTTTGTACATGCAATGAGAAATACAAAGAAAGTCAAAGCCCCTCTGTAATTAAATCTGGCAAAGGATATCAAGAACAAGGGCTTTTTCAAATACATGAATAACAAAGAAAAGCTAAGGATAATGTGGGCCTGTTACCAAATGGAAGGGACACCCTGGTAACAGAGGATGCAGAGAAGGCAGAACTGCTGAATGCTGCCTTTGCACTGGGACAAGACCAGCCTGCAGGAATCTCTGACCTGGGAGACCAGGGTAGAGGGCTGCTGGAAGGAAGACTTTCCCTTGATCAGGAGGATTGGGTTGGAGAACACCAAGGCAAACTTGATATCCTCCATGGGCCATGATGTCCATGGACCCTGCTAGGATTTATCCACAAGTGCTGAGAGAGTTGATGGACACCATAGCAAGGCCACTCACAATCACCTTTGAAAATTAGTGGCACTCAGTAGAGGTGCCTGAGGACTAAAAAAGGGAAATGTCATTCTGGTTTCCAAAAAGGACAAGTAAGAGGACCCAGGGAACTACTAGACAGTCACCCTCACCTCAATCCCTGGAAAGGCAATGGAGTGCCCATTCTGGGGGGCCATCTTTGTCCATATGGAGGACAAGAATGTCTTTCTTTTATAGAATATTTGCTAAATTATCCTGTCTACTTAGTGGTTGGCTTTGAAAAGTTGCAAAACTGTTTTATTTGGATCAACCCCAAATGTGCTCCTCAGATCACATTAAATTTTCATAAAATCATAAAACTGTGGAATGGTTTGGAAGGGACCTTAAAGTTCATCTTGTTCCAAAGCCCCTGCCATGGAGTGGGGCACCTTTCACTAAACCAGGTTGCTCAAAGCCCCATCCAAATTTGTGGAAAATATATTTGGAAGAAGAAAATAAACAGAATATTTAGAGAGTTTTAAATGAAAAATATTTTGTCTTTTATGATTGCTCCCTTTAAGGTCCATGAAACTTTTATGAAGAATTTAAGAACATGATTTTCTAGGATGCTGTTAAATAAGGGCTCTTTCTTCTCCCATCTTCTTCATTTAGGGAACAGGAGAATTTTAAAAGCATTCTTTCCAAATGTTTGTCTCAGCAAAACCAGCAAAATGGGGATTGAGTCCTTTCTCAGTGTGCTCTCTGCATGCAGGCTGGTAAAAAATAGATAAGAACATAAGGGAAAATAACTCCATATGGAGAAAAAAATGGTGGAAATATTTGGGAGATTTTTGGTTTACTTTTAATTCACATACTAATGTGGTTTCATAAAATTTCAGAAGCAGACATAAAAATAAAATGGCAAAGCATGTTTTAAAAATAATGTATCACCATTGCCACTATGATGCCATACATCTAAGTACACCATGAAATATTAAGTGTGAATCCCAAGCAGAATTCCAGCTAATGATAGCAAAATCCCAGGGGACGTTGCAAAGAATGGAGTAAAAGCTGGCTAGTGTATATTGTTCTTGATACTTGTAGTTTGAAGCCTGTAGCTCAGTGCTCACTAACGCTGTATCTGTATATTATCGAATAACTTGGCAGTATAAATTTGATATGAATCACACATAACTGCATTGTGGC